GAGATTGAACTCAGAGGCACTTGACTACTGAGCCACATCCTCAGCCCTATTTTGTATTTTATTTAGAGACAGGATCTCACTGAGTTGCTTAGCACCTTGCTTTTGCTGAGGTTTCATTGAGTTGCTTAGCACCTTGCTTTTGCTGAGCAATACTGTCACAGAGAACACCTCAACAAAAGTGTCATCAAAAAGATCTATTTGAAAGAGGAAGGAGCCCTTCCCCCATTATTGAACTCGAAATCCTCCTGCCTCAACCTCCCCAACCACTGGGATTACAGGCATGCACCACCATACCCAGCTACACTCTTGAGTCTCTTACATCAGCTAAAGACTTTCAAACTTGAAATAAATGTATAAAAAGCAGCCTCACTTAAGATCATATTAGAATTTTTAAAAAAAAGCATTAGCACTTAGATTTCTAACTTCAACATTTTACCATTTCTCTCTTGAATTATTCGAATGGCTTGCAACTGCATTTCAATGTTTTTCTGGACCATCATTGCTTTAAAGATAGTAAAATCTTCTGCTGCCAACACAGGTTGCAAAATGGCCTGTGAAAAGAAATCTGGAGGTTAAATGAAGACTAAATTTTTAAAACTATTTCCCACACATTCAAATAATTTTCATTGCAAAACAGTACATTAATTCATGAGTGCTCTACCATTTATGGTTAGATGACTCAAATGGACAATTTTAAGATTTTATTTTAAAATCCTTTAAGATACAATTCTCAAGAGGATAACTCTCCAAATCCCATGCTTAAGCTAAAGTTAACCATGATACATTTTCCAAATGAGCCAGTACTAAATGACTCTGAAAAAAACAACACAAGAATCTGGCTTACCTTTTTGAAGTTACCACTTCAGTATTTAGGTTTGTTTTTCTACCAAAATAACATCTATTTAATTTATATTCCTGTCACTTAAATTTTATTGCTTAATAAAAATTCAGTAACTACAAAAATTATCCCTTAATCAATAAAAAGTACCAAGTTAAATGTCAATAAATGGAATCTGGAAAGTAAGTGTAATGAACAATTATGTGAATGCTGTTGTAGTTGTCTTATATGCAGAAAGTTATTAGAAAGAAGCAGAGTTAGAAATTACGATGTAAAATCAACTGAGAATTACAAGAAATTTTAAAAAAGGTGTCTAATATTAGGGTGCACACTTAATACTTCCCTTAACTATTGAGAATATTATATTATTAAGAGCAAATCAATTTCCAAACTAATTAATAAAAAGTAGAATAAATTATAAATGCCTAAAAACAGATCTTATTTAGAATTCTTTCCAGCTTTACATGATATTACTGGAAAAGCTGACCATACAAAATCATGCTGAGGCAATGAAGGACATGTGATTTACTAGGTAGGCATTAGCAATATTGTCACAGAGAACACCTCAACAAAAGCCTCATCAAAAAAATCTATTTGAAAGAGGAAGCAGCCCTTCCCCCATCAACCAGCTTACATCCTAGATTTGTGCAGGAGAACAAAACAAAGATAAAGTGAAAAAGCAGTTCTATATGACAACTACATGGGGTCAACTATAGAGAGAAAAGAGGAAATGTTTCTTTTCCACTAAGTTTACAAATACAGTCCAGAAAGCCCCAAAGCAGGACCTGACAAACAAGCTTCAGCTGTGTTTGAAAGCTGCTGCCCAGAGTTCAGTACTCAAAACAATGTGGGCAGTCTCTGTGATTGCTTACTGAAGTCTACCAGGGTCCGATTTATAGGATTATGCCACTAAATAACTTCTCTGGAACTTATAATACAAGGTTCCTCAAAATGTTATTCTTGATTCCTCTTAATAAATTCAAGAAAGAGGGATTAATAAAATGCATATGCCTGAGCCCTGCCATAGATACAATTCATCTAAATCTCTGGAGGATGGGTGCCCACACATCTCCTCAGATAATTCTTGCAACATTAAAGTTTGAGACCCACTGATACATTAGGAAAGGAAGAGTCCATACATTAGGAAAAGAAAAAAATCCTTGATAGCAAAAGCCTGCTTTCAGTTTGACTATGCACCAGTCCCATGAATTTCAACATATCATGTAAATTCTCAGAGCTTCAGTCTCTTTTCTGTAAAATCAATATATTAACAACAATATCTATACAGTACTTCACTGAACCTAATACTGTAGATTAGTAAGATAAACAACTGTTTTATATGCCACTAAGAAAAAAACACTACCAATTAAACTATAATATCATCAATTATAAAATGCATTCCTACTTTAAAGATATTGTGATAAAAATTGCCTCATGCAGAATGATTTCTTTAAAAAATCATGTATTTGCATATATAAATATATCACCGAGAACTTCACCTTTATGTATAGGTAGAAAGAACCAATCAAATAAAAATAAATAGATGAACAAAAGAAAATCTAGATGAACAGAGGAAGGAAAATGGGGGAGGATCATAAACTGAAATAGAATTCAATGCATATATGAGTTTATCAAGATGAACCCAACTACTTTATATAAAATTTGCTTCTTAGAATAAAAGAAATACAGAACAACTTTCTAACTAGGTATTGGGATTAAATAAAATGAGAAAACATTTTATAAACTGAAGAATGAATACAAAAGTAATTGCTCTGGACCTTTTCATGCTGGTTAAAATTATTAAACCTCTAGCTAGGTTAAGGGGGAAAAGAGCAAAAGCACAAACTACTAATCTCAAAAATGAAAAAAGTGTTATCACTACTGATCCTAAGAACATTGAAAGGATGACAAAGAAATACCATGAGTAATTATGCCCATAAATTTGATAATATATATGAAATTCCTTAAAAGATACAATCTGCCAAAACACAAAAGAAGAAATAGATCATTTGAACAGCCTATGCCTTGACAATGAAGTTCAATCAATAACTTATAATCCTATATAATAGAAAATACCGCACCAAAATGGGTTCACTGATGAATTCTACCAAACATTTAAGGAAGAAATTATACCAATTCTCTACAATATCATCCAGAAAATGGAAGCAGAGAGAATACTAATTAATTCATTATATGATGCCAGTATTACCCTAATGCCAAAACCAGACAGACAATAAAAGAAAACTACACATCAATCTCTCTCACGAACAAAGATATAGAGATATTCAACAAAATTTAGCAAATTAAAAACAACAAGGTATATGAAGAATTATAAACCACAACCAAGTGGGATTTATTCCAGGTATGCAAGGATGGATCAGCATCTGAAAATCACTAAATATAACAAACATCAACAGAGCAGAGAAGAAATATCATCTGATCATAATAACAGATATGGAAAAGGAATCTAACAAAACCCAACAACCATTCAAGATTAAAAACTCTCAGCAAATGAGGACTAAAAAATTCCTCACCCAGTAAAGAACATCTGTTTAAAAACATACAGCTAACATTAAACTTAATGGTAAGAAACTAGATGTTTTCCCACTGGATCAGAAATAAGGCAAGAATGGTCTCTTTTACCATTCCCATTCAACACTATACTGGAAGTTCTAGTTAATAAAATAAAACATGAAGAGTTAATAGAAAGTTATTAATTAAGAAAGAAGAGGGCTGAGGTTGTGCCTACATGACAGAGAACTTGCCTTATATGTGTGAGGCACTGGGTTCCATCCTTAGCACTAGATGAAAAAATAAATAAACAAAATAAAGTTATAAGAAATTAAGAAGGAAGAAAGAAAACTGTTTTTGTTCACAGATAACATGACTTGTCTTTAGAAAAATACAAAAAGAAAAAAATTTTAAATTTCTGGAACATGTAAGGAATTAAACCAGGATATATTTTACCATATAAAAGTTAACTGCTCTCCTATGTACCAGCAATGAACAACTGGAATTTGAAATTAAAAACACAAAAGATAAAAAGATAAAAAAGAAGTACTTAGGAATAAGTCTAACATAGTATGTATCAGATCTGTATAAGGAGTAATAAAACTCTAATGAAAGAAATTAAAGATCCAAAGAAATAGAAAGATATTCCATATTCATAAACAGGGAGAGTCAAAACTGTTAACGTGTCTTCCCAGCTTAATTTGTAGATTCACACACCCCAACAAAAATCCCAGCAAACTGCTTTGTGGATATTAAAACTTATTCTAAGAGATACATGAAAAGGTAAAGACCCAGAATAATCACACAACGTAGATAAAGAACAAAGTCAGGGAACTAACACTATCCAACATCAAAATTTATTATTAAGTTATAATAATCATGATGGTGGTATATTGGTGTTGTAGTAGATAAACAGATCAATGAAATCAGAATAGGTCCTGAAATTACACCTACATAAATACACTCAACTGATTTTTTACAAAGAAACAAAGGCAATTCAATAGAGAAAGGATAGTCTTCTCAACAAATGATGCTGGAACAACTCAAAATGGGCATCCTAAAAAAAAAAAAAAAAAAAAAAAAAAATCTAACCATTGGCCTTACACCAGAAGTTATCACAAAAGTAACCACAGACTTAAATATAAAAACACAAAACTAAAGCTTTAAAAGGTAACATAGAAGAAAATCTAGATAATTAGATTTGGTGACGACTTCTTAGATACAACATCAAAAGCAAACTCCATGAAAGAAAAAACTGGTAAATCAGACTTAATTAAAATTAAAAATTTCTACTGTGAAAGACACTGTTTAAGAGAATGAAAAAAAAACCCAAAGAAAATTTGCAAACTACTTTGAAAAGCATTATAACAGGATTTGTACCTAAAAATACAAAGAATTCTTAAACCTTAACAATTAGAAAACAAACAATTCAACTGAAAAATGGGCAAAAGAAAACAATATAGCATTATACACCTATTAGGACGTTTATAATCCAAAAATACCAAGTATTGACACAGATGTGGAAAAACAGAAACTGTCCATTACTGGTGACAGAAATATAATATGGTAAAGACACTTTAGAAGACAGCTTAAAAGTTTCTTAAAAAGCTAAGCTTTGTCTTATCAGATGACCTAGTAATCCACTCACAGGTGTTTAGCCAAACAAATTAAAATCATAATGTCCACACAAAAATCTTAAAAAAAATTAGAAATTGCCAAAAAAAAATGGAAATAATCAGGATATCCTTCAATAAAAGGAAAAACAAACTGTGGTACATCCATACAATGTAATAATACTTGGTGAGAAAATTATGAAGCCACAAAATATGGAGGAAGAGTTGAATGCATATTGCTTATTAAAAGAAATCAGTCTGAAAGGATATATACTATGTTCCCAATTACATGACATCCTAGAGAGGGTAAAATTACTGAGAAAATAAAAACACCAAACATTGTTTGGGAACTAAAACAAGGCCAGGAGGAATGAATATATGGAACATAGAGGAGATTTTTAATGCTGTGAAACTATTTTCTACAACACTGTAATAGTGGCTACATGGCATTCTATATTTGGCAAAGCCCTTACAAGTATACAACAGGAAGGGTTAATGTATCAATACTGGTTCATCAGTTATAACAAATATACAATACTAATGCAATATTTTAATAAGGGAAACTATATGCTTCATTTTTTATAAGCCTATAATTTCTCTAAAGAATAAATATTACTAGCTTCTTTAAAATCTTACTAGGACTCACACAAAATATTTTCTGTTATCCTATGTGTACTTTTAGAAATTCAATAGTAAACTGGGAGCAATGGCGCATGCCTGTAATCACAGAAATCACATGCAGATCAGGAGGCTGAGGCAGGAGGATTGCAAGTTCAAAGCCAGGCTCAGAAACTTAGCAAGGCCCTAAGCAACAAATGAAATATAAAAAAGGGCTGGGGATGTGGCTCAGTGGTTAAGCACCCCGCGGTTCAATCCCTAATACTAAAAAAGATTCAATAGTAACATCACAGATGTAATCTTCTTAACAGTGCCAATTATTATAAGAGAAATGTTTCTGCAAGTATTAATTTCTATCTTATAAAGGTCAATGTAAATCAAGTAAACAAAACAAAACAAACAAAAAACCCTTCTAGAAATCCCTGAATTTTGTCATGCATTGAAATTAATGATAAGTTTTATCCTCACAAGCAGATATTGTTTTTATCCACTTCAATTGCAAAATACTACAAAATCCTGACGTTCAACTATAGGCAACTGAAATGATAAATATCTCACTATTTATTATATTGTCATATTTTTCTGAATTGGTATAAGATATTTTAATTCATGAACTTTTTTTTTTTTTAAGAAATCACATGTGTATAACAGAAAAACATGCTGTTAAAAAGTTGGTTATGGTCTGGGATTGTGGCTCAGTGACAGAGCGCTTGCCTTGCACGTATGAGGTACTAGGTTCGATCCTCAACACCACATAGAAATACATAAATAAAATAAAGGTATTGTGTCCATCTACAATTAAAAAACATTTTTTTTTAAAAAAAAAGTTGGTTGTTGTGTTTTTTGTTTTTTTGGTTGTTTTTTTTTTTTTTGTACTGGGGATTTAACCCAGGGATGTTTTGCCACTGAGCTATATCCCCAGTTTCTATTTTTTATTTGAGACGTGGTCTCAGTAAATTTCTTAGGGCATCACTAAGTCGCTAAGGCTACCCTTGAACTTGCAATCCTCCTACCTCAGCCTCCCAAATCCCTGGGATTGCAGACAGGAACCACTGCCCCTGAACCTTTTTATCATTACACTGCTTCATCTGATGCATTCCTTGCCACTTTTTCTAGCTTTAATCCACAAAGAATATGCCAGAACCAGTGGTTTAGATCTAATGATAACTAATGAAATGAAAAGAATTTTCCAAGTTTCCTTTAATTGCACAAATCCATGAAAACTGGCAGCCTGTATAGAAAATCAAAACCAAATCACCAAACCGAAACAAACCAAAAATTATCTCCTAAATTATCCAGGGCAAGCAATTTGTTTCTTTAATTCCTTCTTAGACACCCCAATATTGGAATCAACATTTTGATTTTCCTGTATAAAGATTAGGTTGCTTCAAAGCAGTAAATAAAGTGCTTCAAGGTGTTTTTTCAGTAACAGTGACATCCTTATACTGATTAAATGTTGCTACTAAGTATCTGGTAACTAAGAATTTACTCTAGTAAAGAATAAATCTAACTAGTCCACATGGGGATTGAACGCATGAGCCTAATCAAGCACCAAAATAGCTATCTTTAATTAAGAAGTGCTTCCATTTATTTATAGACCACCTGATATACATCAGACATTGTGCTAAATGCTTTATGTATGTTATCTCTTAAATTTCAAAAAAAAAAAACATTTCAAAGTATATACTATCCCTATTTAACAGATGCAAAAACTAAGAATCAAAAAGGTTAAGAGGGCTGGCGTTTTAGCTCAGTGATTGAGCACTTGCCTCGCATATGGTAAGGCACTGGGTTCAATCCTCAACACCACATAAAAAAATAAATAAATAAAACAAAGACAACTAAAAAAGTATTTTTTTTAAAGAAAGGGTTAAGAAGGTAAACTGTACAAGAGCTTTTGCCAAAATCTTACACATAGTAAATGAAAGATTAAGGACTCATAAGCAGATGGATCCAACCATCTCAAAAGGCCTGCTTTGTTGTATATAACAAAACTGTACTATCAATTCTAAGCAAATTAAAAGGTATACGGTAGAATGAATTAGAAAACTGTTGTTGATCTTGATCTGAACATAATATCTGAATTCTGAACATCTACGTTCACAAATAATTTAGTTATCTTGATAATACAAACAAAAGATAGTTATAGACTGTTGCCAACTTAGAGTTTTTCCACTTTACAATAGTGCAAAATCAATATACATTAAGTAGAACCATGCTTTGAATTCTGAATTTTGATCTTATCATGGGCTAGCAATGTGCAGTATGATAATCGCTCTTGGTGATGGGCAACAGCAGTGAGCTTCCAGACAAACACATGATCACAAAGGGAAACAAGTGATACTCTATAATGTACTATGTTGTTAAGTTATGATGTTCAGTAGGTTAGGTGCATTAAATGCTTTTTGACTTATGATGGATTTATCAGGACATTAAACCCTTCATAAGTTGAGGATCATCTGTAATTTTCAAATTCTTCCTATTCCATTAAAAAGAAGAAAATAAATAAAAAGAAAAAATGTCTGTTATTGTTTCATAAACTAAAATGATGGTATATAATATATATGTGTAATATATAATATATATAGGTAAACTGTAAAACAACTTTTGCTTTATAGAATTATTAACTGATATAATATTTGTTTACATTAGTGTGTACACACTTTCTGTAAAATGTTATGTTAAAGATTTTCTATCTCTAGAATTAGAGATGATCATTAAATGAGAAGAAACTGTAAAAAAGAGAAGTGTACCAGTAAATGCCAGATTAAATAATCAAAACAATCTCTTCAAGGACATAATAATAAGATAATTTAACAAATATTTATTGTAAACTACCTACTACAAATTAAGCTCTCATCTCTAAGCTAGTAACTAGAAATGCAAAGATACCATAAACAGCTCAAAGGATTTACAATCTAATAGGGCAAATGGACTAGTAGAAAACTATAATTCAAAAATATCCAAAATATAAAAGTACCCAGTGAGATAGAATGAGTTCTACCCTCTAATGATTAAGGGAGCAACATACTACTTCCATAAGTAGTAGCATTTCAGCCAGGCCCTAAGGAGTGCATTGGTTGTAGGGCCATACATCTTAGGTGAAGAAACAGCATGAGCAAAGCTGAGTACACAGATGCTTGTAAGAGTGAGTGGTCTGAAATGACAATAGTACATTCTGTATTGGAGAAGAGAACAAGAGATCAAAGGCTGAAAATATAATTTGGAGTCACATCACAGACAATCCTCACTATCATCTTGCTAAGAAATTTTTAAATTCACTAAGAGGATGGCAAACCAAACTAAGTTTTTCAAAAGTCTACCTGTAGCAACATGTCTCTATTTCAACCTCTGAGCAAGGGCTCTCAGTTGAATGGCCTGTGTTGTTATACTGGCTCAACTACTTTAATAGCTATGGACTTTGGACTGGGTACTTACTCTATCTGTGCTTTAGTTTTCTCACATATAGATGAAAGTTAAAATACCAGTTTCTTAAGAGGGATCAAGATGACTAAGTGTCTAAAACATCAACTAGCATAAGTCCTCAATAAATGTTATAATTACACATAATACCTACTGCAGCCCAGCACTACAGAACTGAGACAACAGAAATAGTTCCAAAACGAAAAAGCCCCAGTAACTATTAACTATGGATGTACTAAAAGGGCAACTGCAGAATTATCAGAGATCTATATAAATAAAACAGTAATTTGGATAAACCCTGCAATCTTATTACAGTTGATTTTGGAAAGTTCATTTTTAATTGTATCAGCTCATTAATGCCTCAAATTATTATTTTTTAAGGTTGTTGTAAAAGAAAACCCCTATGTAATGAATTATCTTTTTCACCTCTTACAATGTCTAAAATATTATACTTTTGCAATCAAACATACTAAATTTAAGAGAAACCCTGGGAATTTTTGTTACAATTGCAAGGTAACAGAATAACAAAAAAGCAAAAACCTGTGATGTTCGAGTCTTGGCAAGAGGAGAAGTACATGCTTCTTGAAATTGATCTTCATTAATTCCAATTTCTTTGAGGTAACTTTCTAACAGCTTTTCAACCTAAGAAGGGAAAGTTTAACTTTTATATAGAAAAATTCTAAATTATTGTATACCTATTAAGTATTCAATTTAAAAAAGTATAATTCAAATGCTTTTGCATTAATCTATGTAATATTATATTGAAATAATATTGTCATTTCACCAAAATATAACAAAAGCTAATTTTTTTCAGAAAATCACATAAAATCATATTTCCTCTACTAGAAATAATAAAAGTCAGAATTATAAAATTCAATGTAGCAGAACTTTTCTGCTACGCAACAGTCATTATTAAAAATCATAAGACAACCATAACTAAGTGAAAAACTAACATTTCCCTGCAGGCATCAGCCAAAAATGATAAAATATAAAGATCAAATGTAAGATCCCTATAATTATAATTCCAGTCCTTAGATTCTAGAGTGGAAGAGATATGAAATCATAAAAATGAGATGCTCAGAGAAACCACTGAGTCTAATACAACTGATAGTACTGTTAGGATAGATAATATTTGTGAAATTAAATAATTTTAATGAAGCAACATCAATTTTTTTTAATTTAGAAAATTATAAGCATCATTATTCTAATTACCTTTTAAAATCAGTGAAAAATACTTACAAGCTCTTTGTACTCCTGATGAATCTCTGTATAAGTCAATTTGCTTTCTTCCTCATCATCAAAAACTAAATTTGAGAAAAATATAGTGTAAAAAAATCATTTCACTAATACAAATTTATAATCCATTCTTTACAAATGGAACTATCATTCTGATAATTTAGCTCTTCAGCTTTGAATTTCTGCAGTTTTTCTTTAAAACAACTTAGATATGTAAATCTACTTTTTAAACTGTAATTTTTTTTTTTTTTTTGTACCAGGGAATAAACGCAGGGGCACTTAACCACTGAGCCACATGCCCGTACTTTAAAAAAAAATTTTTTTTAAATTTTGAAACAGGGTCTTGCTAAGGTGCTGAGACTGATTTTGAAGCTGCCTCAGCTCCCAAGCCACTGAGATTACAAGTATATGCCGCCACACCTAGCTAAACTGTAAATTTTTATGAGATCCAAATTTTGACCAATTATTTCACATGAAAATAAATATATACTGGATTGCAAAGATTTAAAAAAATTGGGGCTTGGAATGTGGCTCAAGTGGTAGTGTGCTCACCTGGCATGTGTGAGGCACTGGGTTCGATCCTCAGCACCACATAAAAATAAAATAAAGATATTGTGTTCACCTAAAAAACTAAAAAATAAACATTAAAAAAAGACCTAAAAAAATTAAAAATATCTGCTGGGCTGAGTGGTGTGTACACCTGTAATCCCATTGACTCTGGAGGCTAAAATAAAAGGACTGCAAGTTCAAGGCCAGCCTGGGCAACTTAGCGAGACCTTGCCTCAAAATAAAAAATAAAAAGGGCTGGGTGTGTAACTCAGTAATTTAGCACCACTGGGTTCAATCCTCATACTGGTAAAAATAAAGAGTAAAATATCAAATTGCTACTTTTAAAAATAAGCATATACACTGACATGATAATATATTAGATACAATGTTAAATATATTATTAAAATTAAGTAATATACACAAATACATATAATATATAATATTAATTTAAACAAGTTTTCTCTCATTTAAAAAATATTAAAACAAAATCTCCTTCATATTTAAGATGAAAACTAATTTGCCACAATATAAGGCAACAATTTCTTCATAAGCTTCTAATGGAATATTATTAAACATTAAATCCCTTTTATAACAGTCTCAAAATTATTTTATTGTACTGGAACTTTGCTAATGTAAAATGTATTCAAAGTGACTAGGCCATTTTTGTTACCACAGATGAATAAATGAAGTGAAAATAAAACCAAAACAAATGTTTACTGAGTGTTATTCGTGAAACAATTTAGATTAAGAATCTATAATCTAATTAAGAAACCAGGACACATTCATGAATTGTAAACAATAAATATTTTTTTCATTCCTCCAGAATGATCTTCCTAATCGGCAAAACTAACTTCTGTAATATTCAAGTTAAAACTCTTCCAATAACTGTTCACTTTCTTACAGAATAAATGCAAAATCCTTAGAAGGCCAATCAAGACCCTCCAGGATTTGATCCCAAGTTTCACCTCACTTCCCACCACTCCAAAATCCAAATCTTGTCCTCCTAACAATACACAACTACTTGTAACACTCCAAACATAACACATACCACTTCAAAACCCATGCCTTTTTTTTTTCCTTTACTCCATCCCTGTCCCCTCTCTACCAACCATTCTAGTGCCTGATGCTGTTGCACACACCTGGAATCCCAGCTACTTGGGGGCTAAGGCTGAAGGACAACAATTTCAAAGCCAGCCTGGGTAACATAGTGAGATCCTGTCTCAAAATACAGTACTGTGGCAGAAGGTAGGGGGAGATATTGCCAAGTGTCATGTCATATTACTATGATCTGCAACACACTTTGAAGTACTAGTTTGGTTAGGTCTCTCCTCTCAGCCCATAATATACAACACAATGTACCTATCCTTATTATAACACCTGCCACTTTGTATTTTATTCTATTTACCTGTCTTCTCTATGACATTATATATTTCTCAAGTACAGGATTTTGTTATTCATATCTATCCCTAGTTTCTGGTTCAAGGAAACGCACTATTTGAAGTAAATGATGATGTCATGAAGTTGTACAAACTAATCTTGAAATCATCTAAAGTAGAGAATAGCACATTTTAAGCTCAAGTCAGTGAATTATAAACAGTTATTTCAAGTGTCACTGGCATGTTTCTTCTATTTATCCTGCAGCCACTCTGTAACACTGCATATACATTCTATACAACTGCTACTTAAGCTGTTTTCAGTTCATTCTAAAACCAAATTACTACACTATAGTGTTTATGAGGTTGAAGATATGCTTCTCTGTAAAATTACACTATTGCCTATATTATTACTAAGATGCAGCCTCTGTCTGTCTGTCTGTCTGTCTGTCTGTCTATCTATCTATCTATCTATCAGGGATTGAACCCATGGGAGCTTTACACACTGAGCTACATACCCAGTCCTGTGTTTTGAGACAAGGTCTTGCTAAATTGGCCTTGAATTGTGATCCTTCTGCCTCAGCCTCCCAAGTCTCTGGGATTATAGGGATGCTCCATTGTGCTCAGTGCACTTTTGACACTTGGGAATAAAAAGATGAACAGTGCTTCTTTTATTTTTCATTTCAGCATATAGTCTCAGAGGGATAAATGGAATTAATAGATGACATAATTTCTTTTTTCTTCTAAAGGAGGTCAGAATTCAACATGCCTCATTAGTATCATGATGGCATTTTAAATGCTTAAAAGAAGTACCAGTACGTTATTTTGTTTTTGACTGTCCTTAAAAATTACCTTTAAAAACAACACTTAATAACTAGTATTTGACTTTGATTATAACAATGAGAATATAATAAAGAATCAGTGGTCAAACAAAATTTCATCTTTCCCAGATTAATGGAATCTTCTTGAAAGAAGTCTTAAAGGATTATCCAGGATGATAAACCATTGAATAGCTGAATCCTTTCTAACATCTCCATTAAGTCATTATCTGATCCATTCAAACACTGCTAATGCCTGGGGGAACTCATTACCTTTTCAGGCCGGCCTTAGCATCCTGGATACCAAGCATTTCCTTCACTGAAATTTGTTTCCTTGCAGCTTGTACCCACTGACCCCAGCTCTATCCCACTGATTCTGACCATCAAGTCCTTACCATCAACACCTATAAGAAAGACATTCAAATAACTGAGGGATGTTATTACTCTAAGTCTTGCCCAAGCTAAATAACCAAGACAACATCTAGACATTTGACCATGACATAGTTTCTGGTTCCCTTTCTGTGAAGACAGGATTGAATTCTGAATAAGTGTGAACTGGTCAGAAACCGGAGGTGCCTATCCTTCAAAGGAACTATTATGTGACGTCTGTATGTCTCAAAAAAAAATGAATGAAAGAAAGAAAAAAGAACCCAAACATATGCCGCTATCTCCCCCTTTTTGGTATAGCTGAGAGTAGAGAACTCAAAAAGCAGAATAGAGCCCAGCGAGATCTCGGGCTCTGGTACTGCGGGAGTAATCACATGCCCTCCTTTGGCTCGTCAACAGGTCGGGGTGAATTATTTTTTATTTCCTACACTGATTCCACAGAGGAAAATGTTAGGGATCAGAAGGAACTCAAAGGAAAACTGGCACTTCTCCTCCCAGGTAACTGGGGAAACTGTTAAAGAAGCCCACCCAAAAAGAGTCCACGGGTCCAGGGCAGAAATGTGCGGATGGGGTGAAAAACCGAACATAGAATTAAAAGTCTAATGTTTTTCGGACGCGCGGCGTGCAGCAGATTGGGGAGGACGTCTAGGTCCGAATTTTCAGATCTGGGGGAGTGGATGCAATTCCTCCTACAGAACTAGCTCCAAATCTGGTCGGCCAGGGTGGAGACGGAGGAGATGAAATGATGTGTGGTGACCGCCTCCCTGACACTGCTGGTGCGAGAGAGTCAAGAATAAGATTGTCAGTTCGGGCTCTGGTTTTTACCTTCACATTTCTGCTCCACAAAGTCCAAGATGGGGATGGACCAGTCGGGGCCTCGCAGGAACCCCGCGATGCTCTCCACCACCCATTCCACCTCGTCCTCTTCTTCCGTAGCCATCCCGCCCCCACGGGGCGACGCAGATCCCCAGGCCAAATTCCGGGAGCTGGCTAAGGCCTTCCGGCTTCAGGAAGCCTAGAGGGAGTCGGGGAAAAGGTTGCTGGGGCCACCTGGATGAGAACTGCAAACCAGTTAACGTAAAACGGTAGCTATGGCAACAGTCGCAGCCGCCCCAGACTGCGGCCCGGAAGTGAAGCCAGCTTCCCTGGCCTGCACACCTCAGAGGAGTAGGGGCTTTTAAAGAACGTTTCCGATTGGCTGGAAGGGAACAGTAGAGGATCAAAAGATAGCCTTCCACTCATTGGTCCGGAGTTGCTAGGCCGGAGAGCAGAAGTGTAGGCATTGGTTAGAGGTCCTAGAAGCAATCTCGGGGTTCCCTCTTCTAGCGGAAGGCTGCCACGAGTCTCTGAATGACAAGGCTTCAAAGGTTTTATTTCATGATTGTAACCTCAGTTCCTCAGTCCCCTCCAGTTTCATACTCCCTCCCACAACCTTTTGTAATTAAAGAGCTGTCTGAAAATACAAAGCTGAACAAAAGTCGATCTGTTAAGGTTTACTTACTGGCTCTGCAATCACTTTGCATGGGTCAGCACCAGAGGGTTCTTTTAACTCTCAAGCTAAGATAGCTCTAACTAGAATCAGGAGCTTTTCAGAGGCAAAATCAAAGTTAACATTCATTTAAATAAATGTCTTTGACACCAAATCTTATGTCAAATAACCAGGTTAGGGTCCATTGTGGAACTGGTGTTCAAAGGACATTGTCAAAGTGTTTGAGGCCCCCAAATAACTTCAGGCAACTTTATAATATATCCCATAATCAGGATCATTGTATGTACTGTTACAAAGCACTTTTTCTTAACATACTTTTTTACATAAAGATGTAAAGCTTCTTTCTTCATGACTGCATAGCCATAAACCACCCTTCAGTTCACACACAGTATCTTACTTATATACATAAGTGTGATCATTAATGTGTTGAGGTTTATTTTCTCTTTTTTTCACTCCATGGTTTGGGTGTGCCATAAGTTATTCAACTATTTTTTGCTTCAACAAACTGCTAAAATAAACACATTTGTGTCTGTAAGAATTGTCAGTTCAATTCCTAGGGATAAATTTGAACAGAATTGCTCAACGAGAGAATATATACCCTGATTTATTTGACAATCCTCAATTTATTATTTAACAATGCTCGATTGCTAAAATGGAATCATTGTGAGGTAGCTTTGAATGACTCCAAACGCTTAAGTAGTTTGCTACATGATGTTTTTGTTTTAAAGAATTCCCCCCCCACACACACACACCTGTCCGCATATTTTAAGATCAGACATCCTATCAGATCCCTTGTGTGAGAATTTCGAGTGAACTCCCCACTCTCTTCGAGAATATGAGCAAACTCCTGCCCTCCAGAATGTTCTGTCAAACTTTATTGGACCACTTCTCACATTGTGAGTTACTGACTTCAAATACGGGACTTAAATGTACACATAAACACAAGAGTTTGACCAACACTTTGAGAATCTATGGAATGGCAGAAGGGTTAGCCATTCTGTCACACCAAGAGCTCAGACTCCCAAGTGTTGGAGCTCCAACATCAGCACCACCCTCCAGCATGAAGTCAAAATGTCTGTGATGGCCCTGACAGCTTCTAAAAGAGGGGGTCCGCTTCCATCTTAGCTGGGCAATTAAACTTTAATGATTTTGTAACTCACTCACTATGTGGTTAATATGCTTCATCTATCCAGTGTAGTTGCTGTGAGGTTTATACACATTTTTCTCCCCTTTTAGGTGTTGTGAACCTCCAGAAAATTTCTCTTTGTATGGCAATTATTCTTTGATCACCTCCTTATTTCCACTAAATGTAAAAATCATGTCAATTTTTTAAAATCAGACAATTTTGTAAGGAACATACTTCCATATATGCTTTTTTTAAGAGAGAGAGAGAGAGAGAAGAAAGAGAGAGAGAATTTTTTCATATTTATTTTTCAGTTTTCGATGGACACAACATGTTTATTTTATGTGGTGCTAAGGATCGAACCCAGCACCCCGCATATGCCAGGGGAACGCGTTATCGCTTGAGCCACATCCCCAGCCCTCCATATATGTTTTTGATCCCTTCTTTTTTTTTTATTTCCTTTAGATAAATTCTCGAAAGGAAAATTACCAAATTGATTTTAAAATCTTAATAAAAAACGTCTTTGCCTACTAATTAGAACAAAATTTTTAAAAATGTCTTTGCCAATAGACTAGGTTAAGAATGATACATAAATTTTTAAAAAAGATATATAATTTTATTTTGCACTTTTTATTGAAATCCAGCAGTTTCATGTTAATTAGTCTTTTGTATTTTTTCTTGTGTTATCTTTTCATATCTTTGATTCTTATTAGAATGTTCAGGGTTTTTTCTTATTAATTCATAAGAGCTTTTTATACATTACTTTAAGAATGTTTGCCATATGTTACAATGAATTGTTTGTCTATATTCACTTTAAGAAAAAAATTTTGTAGATAGATGTTTCAGAAATTTTTTAAATTTGTTTTTAGTTGTGTTTGGGCACAATACCTTTATTTTATTTATTTATTTTTATGTGGTGCAGAGGATCAAACGCTCCTTGCATGTGCTAGGTGAGCACTTTACCGCTGAGCCGCATCCCCAACACCAATTTTTTTAAAACTTTTAATTGGTAAATAAAAATTGCCTTTATCATGTACAACATGTTTTGAAATATATATGCACAATGTGTTTTGAAATATGTATATATTGTGGAATGATTAAATTGAGTTAATTAGCATATGCTTTACTTCTTTGTTTTGTGGTGAGATTGCCTTTTTTGTGGTGAGATTGCCTTTTAATTTAATTTTTTATCTTTTGTTTATAGAAGTTTTACATTTTTCATCTAGACTTTAAATGGAAGGTAATAAGTTATATTTTTCATAGGGGATATCCATGCTCCAAACACCACTTGCTGGAAATTCATGTGGTAAAGTGTTGTGGTTTTTGAATTCTTGAGAAGAGGAAAAAGGAAAGAAAGACATTATCATTCTTAGGCTAAAATACTGTGACCAAGGTGGATTACTGTCATTTATTGTTCTGTTTTTCTGTCTTCAAAATTAATTTAAGACTGGGTGCACTGGCGCACGCCTGTAATCCCAGTGGCTTGGGAGGCTGAGGTAGGAGGAACTCAAGTTCAAAGCCAGCCTCAGCAAAAAGCAAGATGCTAAGCAACTCAGTGAGACCCTGTCTCTAAATAAAATACAAAATAGGGCTGGGGATGTGGCTCAGCAGTCGAGTGCCCCTGAGTTCAATCCCCTGTACCAAAAAATAATAATAATTTAAAATGGAAATGTGACTTTGTTTCTTTTTTACACATTTTTTATTGATGCATAATGTACATGACAATGGGATTTGTTGCTACATATTCATACATGCACACAATATAATGATATAATTTGGCCATTATCACTCCCACTTTGTTCTTCTGCCAGTTTGTTCCTTTCATAGAGAATCTGGGTGGCTGGGATTGTGGCACAGTGGTAGAGTGCTCGCCAAGCCATATGAGGCACTGAGTTCAAGCCTCAGCACCACATAAAATAAATAAATAAAGGTATTGTATCCATCTATAACTAAAAAAAAAAAAATTTTTTTTAAAGAAAATAATCTGTGTGGTTTCTAATTAGCCTAGGCCACAAACTGCTATCAGTTTCACTCCATATTACAGTCTTTATCTTCAATTTCTTCCAAATGTTTTTCAGTTCCAGTAGAGGCAGTTAAATGTGGTGCACAAGCTTGGCCCCATTTTTTCTCAGCTTTGTTCCTAAATGTGGGTAATGTGAATTCCTTCGGGTCCACACATTTTCTCATTTATTTCAAATTATTTCATTATTTCAATTTTCACCTTAAAATGGAAGGCTTTTTTTTTTTATTCACTACTTGAGATTCTTATAACCAGGATACTTACACATAGGACATGTGCTCAATCACAAAATAAACACAAACTAGAACAGTGTACACATTCTTAGTTCAATGCTTGCAGATGCAGTGGGGTAAGAATAAGAAGATGGCATGGTCAAGTATACAATCAGTAGTAATTTCCATGTTTCATAGTAATGCAAAGCATAGTCATCTCTAGATAAATCATTTCTCGATTGGGTAATCCCAGCTACTCAGGAGGCTGGGGCAGGAAAATCTCAATTGAGGTTCCAGACCAGCCTAGGCAATTTATAATAAGACCTTATCTCAATAAAAAATAAAAAGGCCTAAGGATATAGCTCAGTGGTAGTACTCCTAGGTTTAATTCCCAGTGCAGAGAAGGAGGAGGAGGAGGAGGAGGAGAATCACAAAGTCTCATTTTGGCAATTTTCTTATTTTTTTTTTATCTACTACATGTGAATAAATTGTCATTTTAAAGAAACATGTTAAAGAAGAGACTGTAATACACACACACACACACACACACACACACACAGAGCACTTCTGCCATCTAACTGTTATATGTGGTGGTTTTTTAAAACAATTTGCAGTGGGGCAGTAAAGAACAATTATCTTATTTTGTTTCTCCTTTTACTGTCCTCCTTGTATACTTTACTGCAGTATTACTCAAATCTGCTTCTCTGCATCTCTCTTTCTGGCATTAAGCCTCTGTGATGTAAACAGAATAACTTCACTCTTCTCAGTTTCTTAGGGATTGTGTTTAATAACAGATATATTTATATAGTGCTTTATATTTTACCAAAGTGTTACATCTATTTGATGTGGAAGCAATCTTAGGAGCTAAATAAATATGGTATTAAGATTTCCCCAAATAAAGATGGTATTAAAATTTAGTGCATTAGTTTCCTAGAACTGTTGCGACTGAGTGACTTAAACAACAGAAATTTTTTTTTTTATTTGGCAGGGGTGGGGGTGGATTCTAGGGATTGAACCCAGGGGAGATTTAGTGTTATGGTACATCCCCACCTTTTTTTTTTTTTTTTTTTTTTTTTGCAATCCTCCTGCCTGAGTCTCTGGAGCCATTGGAATTACAGGCATGCTCTGCCATACCCGGGGTCTAGAAATTTGAGATTGAAGTGAAAATAAGGTTTGTTTCTCCTGAGGCCTCTCCCTTGGCTTACAAATGGTCATTTTTCTCCCTGGAACTTCCATCTATATTGTTTTATGTCCTAATCCCCTATTCTTATAAGGACATCAATTATATTTGATTAGGGACCCTCATATCT